ATCCGGCTCAGTGTGTCGGTTTAGTACAAAGCAGGGTTAATATTCATATCACATTAACATGTTCTCGTCCTGAATATGCATATTAGTTTGCCGCTGGACGTTTAACAGTCATCCATCCATCAATATATATTATTAAACAGTAATGGAAGTGAAATTGTCTGGCCGTGCGATTTAATATTTCAGATTTCAAGACTTCTAATGTACTAGTAGATGCGGTTGTCTTCTTTTATTGTACTTACGATAGGTGTGAAAACTAATATTTGTACTTACGATAGGTGTGAAAACTAATATTTGTACTTACGATAGGTGTGAAAACTAGTATTTGTACTTACGATAGGTGTGAAAACTAATATTTGTACTTACGATAGGTGTGAAAACTAGTATTTGTACTTACGATAGGTGTGAAAACTAATATTCAATAATAAATGTTCATTGGCATCACCACATTATTTTTTAGTTCAAATTACATGTATAATTTTAGTATTAACCAAATTTCACTACCATGACTGTAAACAGGGTTTAAATTGTATTCCTACTATTCCATGCCATCTTTTAGACATGAACCAAGTAGATGGTGGTCTAAATAAAAGTCGATGATTTGTAAAAATGTAGTTTATAACATGATTTTTTTCAAAAATATAATAACAAGTTTGGGTCACGGGGCTTTTTAGCTCACCTCGCCTAAAATCGTCTCCTATGAAAATACTGGGTCCAATTTTACCAAACATTACCAAATATAAATAAGAAGATGTGGTAAGAGTGCCAATGAGACAACTCTCCATCCAAGTCACAATGTGTAAAAAGGAAAACAATTATAGGTCAAAGTACGGCCTTCAACAAGGAGTCTTGGCTCACACCGAACAGCAAGCTATAAAGGGCCCCAAAATGCATGCTTTATAGGGTATCTAGTTTTTAAATTGTTTCTGGGGATGTGATCAATCAACAAACATAGCCGCTTTTGCTAAAGAATACATAGGGGTCAAATGCAGTTTTGGGCTGATATCTCAAACACAAAATCATTTCGACCAAATTTGATACGGGTAAAAATTATCAACATGTAAATGTATATCTCCTGAGAAAATCGGACAACCCATTTTGGAGTTACTGTTACTACACCTGAAATGTCAATTTTGAGTAAATGTCTCAAGTTTTTGGCTTATAACTCAAAAACTAAGGCAGTTCAGTAGGTCAGGGCCTATTTCCTGCGAAAACTCGGATTACCTAATTGGGCTTTATTCCCCCTGAAATGTAATTTTTCGCAAATTTTTGCTTAGTATATTGAAAAGTATAACAGAAATTGAATGACAGATAGATAGAAATTTTAAAGAGTGAAAATGAGATTGAATTCACAACAAATTCCTTTAAAAGTAACATTATCTCACTTATCTCCCTTTATACGGAAAAAATAAATCCAGCAAAAAATTTTCTGTATTTGTAAAATCAGTTGTAATAATAAGACAAAACACATAATTTCTTTATTTATGTGACAAGTCTTACAAATCAACTGCATTCCTCTCTAAAAGTTGTCATATTTCATTACAGATCTAAACCTATTGTTTTCTGCTAATTTATAATCCATCCACGATGGCAGGAGACACTCTCTCTACCTTACGTGTGTACAATGTACGTAATTTATTCTTTTTTCTTTTTCTTTTTTTTTTTGCTATGACACCTTCCCGCGTCATAATATAAGGCTTTTTATATTTTATTCCATACAGTATTTAATAAAAAAAAAAACGTACAAGAAGTCACAATTATGTAAACCGCCGTGCTCGTTCAGTGGTCGTTTGTTAGATCCCTAGCAATCGGATTAAGGTGGATGGGGGTCTTAATCAAAATCCATAGATTGTTCTAATAATTTGTCAAAATGTAGTTTTTATCATGCTTTTTTTCATAACATAATAAAAAGTATTTAAGGTCCTCGCAGCATGTCTGTACTTTACTGAGTTTCTTCACGGGTCCTCGCAGCATGTTTGTATTTTACTGAGTTTCTTCACGGGACCTCGCAGCATGTTTGTACTTTACTGAGTTTCTTCACGGGACCTCGAAGCCTGTCTGTATTTTCCTGATTTATTTAAACGATCATAGGAAAGATTACACTCCTGGTATATTAGATTATTTATAAAGATAACCATCCTGTTGTGTAAGAAAATCACATATATCAAATGTGCGTATTTCAATTTTTAAGACCGTTAACTCTAATTTCAAGTTTGAACACTTAAATTTACATAAATCATATAAAAAACTTATAGAGAACTTAAACCTCAATTTGCGTTATAACCTTCATTTCTATCTATTTCGCAGTTAAAGTATTTTTTAAAAATGCAAAGCAAAATTATAATTATTTTTGTTCCAATAAAGTAGGATTTCAAGTGTTTACAGATTCAAATAAATAATAAGTTGTCCTTTGAATGAAATCGTTTTCTAACGAGCCACCAGACTCCTTTTAAACGCTGAAGTTCAATTGTGTTATGCGATTATGCATTTATTTTCTTTGACAAAATCGAGTTCTGCCTTTTGAAATCTAGGACAAAACCGGTTTGTACACATTGACAAAACCGGGTGCTTCCATTTTGACATGACCCATTTTGTTCATTCCATACACAGAAATACTAGTATTGAGGTGCTCAAAGTGACTAGTTTTGCAATCTCCATGTCCATATCTTTCTTTCCGTACCTTTCTTTCCGTACCATGTGAACAATTTAACGAGATATTAAACAAATTCGAGGCAAGGTTCACTCAATTCGTCATTTTGACGTGCATTTTTACTTATTTCTCCCTTAATCTAGAACGGTTGTAGAAAATATTACATCTCACAATAGAAAATAGTTATATATGTATATATATTCTTCAATATCATAAAAATGCTTCGCTGAGCGCAGCCTTATACGACCACAGAGGTCGAACCCTGAACAGTTGGGGCAAATTTGGACACAATATTCAAGCTTGATACTGTCTGAATTTGGATTGTGATCAAATTTTTGACATAATATAGGTTTCTGACACAAAATAAATGTGGTCAAAGATCTTATAAATCCATTGCGAAATACTGTGCAATTGAAGATTTCTTCTTGAAACTTTTCAAAAATTCGAAATTTTAAAAATTTTGAAAAAAATTATTAATCCCTTAAAAAGATTGGGAAAAAAATCCTCCCCCTGCCCCCCCCCCCCCCCCTCCCACTTTTTGAAACCCCCTTGGAGCAATAACCCCAAAACTCAATCCCAGCCTTTCCTTTGTAGTATGGAACCTTGTAGTACAATTTCAGAGAGATCCATACACTTACACACAAGTTATTGTCTGGAAACTAGAAAAATGCTTGTTTTTTGCCCTTTTTTGGCCCCGAATTCCTACATGTTTGGGGAAATTAACCCCAAACTCAATCCCAGCCTTCCCTTTTTTAGATGGAACCTTGTGGTATAATGTCAGAGAGATCCATACACTTACACACAAGTTATTGTCTGGAAACTAGAAAAATGTTTGTTTTTAGCCCCTTTTTGGCCCTTAATTCCTAAACTGTTAGCCCCATAACCCCGAAAATGAATCCCAACCTTCTACTTTTGGTATTAAACATTCTGGTACAATTTCAGAGCAATCAAAATACTTAGACACAAGTTATTATCCTGAAACTAGAAAAATGCTTGTTTTGGGCCCCTTTTTGGGCCCCTAGTTCCTAAATGGTTGGGACCATCAACCCCAAAATCAATCCCAACCTTCCTTTTGTGGTATTGAACCTTCTTCAAAAATTTCATAGAGATCCATTCACTTAAACTAAAGTTATTGTCCGGAAACCAATGTATCTTCGGACGACGACGCAGACGACGACGACGACGACATCATACCATTATATGATCCCAAAAAAATTTTTGCGGTCGTATAAAATAACAAATATATAAACAGAAAACTACCTTTTCTCTGTCTATTGATGTTCCGTCACCGTGCCGGTATGATATTAGATACCATCGAGTCCAAACATTTTTTGCCGGTATAGTTTAGACACAGTGTAATCTATAGTTTATAATATAAGATCCAAAAGGAAGAAAAATTCTAGAATATTATTATCACTTGAAGAAATATTTCAGTATTTGTTCCTGACGTAATAAAGAGTTAAGAATATTTGGATGAAATAGAAAAGACAGGTATTATAGCATTATTTACATCAAAGTTTTAGAGGAACTTATATTAGGAGTCCCGAACAAATGTACGTTGACATGAATAGCCTGGACTGTTAACTGTAAACTTCGACTTAGGGTGTCGGTCTAGTACGAAGCAGGGGTCCTATTGAGATTTAATTAACATGTTCTCGTCCTGATATGCATGTTATATTAGCCATTAAACCCAAAATCTATCATCTAATGTGTTGAAACCCCCTATTAAAAATGGCTGGATCCGCGCCTGTAATTATTTTGATTATTATCTTAGCCTTCAATTTTTTAAACATGTTAAGTAAAAAATATAAATATGCTGCTATAGAAATTATAAAAAAAATATGTTACGAAACAAATTTATTTCTTGAATCGAAAAATAAACAAACAAAAATCTGTAAGAAACATTCATTATAGATTAGTTCCGGGAACATCATTATTATTCTCCATATTTAGTATTTACTGAAAATGATCTGTCGATATATATATTGACCGTGTATTATCATGATTATACAAGGCTTAAATGATGACCAGTGCATCAGCACTCCTTTAATGTTTGTCAATTGAAGAAATAGCAGTGGCGGATTTAGAGGGTTTTCCAGGGGGCCCGGGCCCCCCTTTTTTGGTATAAATTTGGTTGGTTATTTAGGGAATCACTGAAGCATGACTGGAGCGGTCCCCCTCTTAGGCAGTCAGTGGGCCCCTCTTAGGCAGTCAGGGGCCCCCTCTTAGGCAGTCAGTGGCCCCCCTTATGAAAATGTGTGGATCCGCCACTGAATAGTAGAGAGAAACAAGGATTAATCTATCATTTACCGTACAGATGGTACTTAAGATATCTCTATTTCTAGTGACTTACCTTGAAAAATCGGATATTATTCCAAACAATCAGAATTTTAATAGTTCACCGGAAGACGATGTGAACACAATGCGATCGGAAGTTACACAACCATCACATCGTTTCTCAGAATAAAATGTTAAATGTTACTTAAAGGCCAGTAGTTCGTATTGATTTTCTATTGTTTGTTTATTTATTATCATTCATTGTTATTAACACTATGTTTTCACATGAATGTTCATTAAATGAAAGTAGCTCGATTAGTCGGTGAACAACAAAAAATACACAAGAAAAACATATCCGCGTACAATCAGGTGTATGTAGTTTCCACGTGTTCTATTTATTTATATAAACTATGTCGTCCCATAGTGTGACCGTGTCTTTTAAGGCAGAGTCGACATGCTTCGCTAAATCGATACAACCTGAACATCTGCGTGAGTTATTAATAAAATGTTAGACTAGAAATACTTTAATAGGGACTGGTCACTGAATTATTTCATTGAGGCAGATATATATATATATACATGTGATCACATGTACATGATGTAAATATATGGCTCTGATTGTGGGGGTCTAGGAGGAAATATTTGATTTTCTCTATCTTTTATCAAGTCCCCACTTTGAAAAAAGAAAAAAAATTTCAACCCCCCTCCCGGCCAAAAATTTTCAAAACCTATATTTTGTTTTAACAACAAATATACATTCATGCAATTTCTATTTATTATTATTAAATATAATATTGCATGAGTATCAGTCCAGAGCCTCCAATAGTTGAGTTTGTGTGGGCCTAAGGGAACTATATCCGGATTAAAGGTACTTGGGGACCGGACAATTTTATTTTTTTTTTTTGCTCTCCCCCTTTTTCCAAAACCCGTTATTTTCTTTTTCTTTTGATTTCCGTTATTTTCGTGTTTTTCTGTGTTATACTTTCATTAATATACTAGGAACAAAGTACATTTGTTTGCAATTTACTATCGATCGCAAACATGGAAATCAAACGACAAGGGCCGGTACCACCACAGTCATCTGATATATTATCCAGCCACAAGGAAATAAACCCCGTACCAAACTTGGTGCGTTATTATTTTTTTACCCAATTTTCGATCATTTACTGCTTGATATACAGGTGACTGTGAGCAACACAATCACCATTTACTGCTTGATATACAGATGACTGTGAACAACACATTCATCATGGCCAATGACAAACAAACAAAAAGAAGATTTTTTTTCTAAGAAGGTGTATGAAACATTATACATCTATACTACTAAAACGAAGTCCAATTTGTTAGCCGGCATGACGTAAAAACGACGAATCAAAGAATTCAACTTTATATATAACTAATATAGGACAATAGTGTTGATTAAAAATTACACCATTCCAGGCCCTTTTGTTTTCCACATAATGAATATTACACATGTACCAATAATTTACAAGTTCCGAGTCGAATCCAAAAACCAAAAATCATTGGTATTACAAAAGTTAAGCCCGAAAAAACAATAGTTATTTCTACCAGGAGTTGCCGAATACTCACTAGCCGATGTAACTAACTATCATATGTGTGGTAGACAACGATACAGGCAGAGGTCTTTTATTGTACATAGATTAATAATTGGACGCATTACAGGTCCAAATAACTTCAAGAAAACTTGTTTTTTTGAGATTTAACTAAATCAGTCAGGCCAACTATTATTAGGTTTAATATATATAGATCCCCATCAATCAGAACACAAGATTACATTAGACAACTAAACGCCCAAACCACTGAAGCATGTAGTAAAGGCTATCTCACATATCCTTATATCGGGAGACTTTAACTTTCCAGAAATAAATTGGGACAGTTGGAATTAACCAGGAGACAGTACGGAAAGTAACGAATACAATTTTTTAGAAAATCTGCAAGAAATTTTTTTATTTCAACATATAACAAAACCAACAAGATGGAGAGGTACTATCCAACCGCATACCCTCGACCTGATCTTGACAAATGAAGAACAAATGATCATAAATTTGGAATATCAAAGTCCATTAGGAAAAAGTGATCACTGTACCATTAAATTTGATTTTAATTGTTAAACAAATATTAAAAGTAAACCAAAGATAATTAAATTATTCAGCTGGGGTAACTAAAAAAAAAAAAAAAGAAAAATTAGACAAAATCAACTGGAATGAATTACTACAAGCAGAAAATGATATTGACAAGAATCTAAAAAGATAATACGCAATAATGACACAGAAGTGAGAAAAGAATACAACAAGATAAGGGATCAAGTGAAAAGCCGAGTAAACAAATTGAAGCGAGAATATGATAAACATCTTTCAAAAAAAGCCAAAGAAAACCCTAAAGCAATCTGGAGTTATATCAAATCAAAAACAAAGAGCAAAGAAGGAATTGGGGATTTACATACAGACCCAGAAGACACACACAAAATAAAAACCGAGGATAATAGTATGAAGGCAAAGATATTAGTTGATTATTTTTCCGGCGTATTCACCGAGGAACCAGACGGACAAGTATCAATTGACAATACCAAACCAGGTACCAGTAATAAACAAAATGTCAAAACATATAATAAGGGAGGAAATAAAAGTATTAAAGCATTTAACTTCACTAAAAATAGATAAATGACCAGGTGTGGACAAACTCCATCCAAGATTACTAATAGCCGAGTCAATAGCAAAATCACTATGACTTATCTTCAACCAGTCAATTGATAGTAAGTCAGTTCCAACTTATTGTTAGAACGCAATGATAAGCGCAATATTTAAGAAGGGAAACTAGCCAAAAGTTATGGACCGGTTAGCTTGACGTCGGTTGTATGCAAAATAATGGAAAACATACTGCGGGAGTTTATAATAGATAACTTGAAAACAAATAACCTATTCTCTAAAAAGCAATATGGCTTCAATGCAGAGAGATCAACTGGACTGCAACTATTGGAGGTGATTGATAAATGGACAGAGGCAATAGATCAGGGTGTAGACATAGACTGCATATACACCGATTTTATGAAAGCTTTTGATAAGGTTCCTCATAAAAAACTGATCGACAAAATAATGAACTTCTCCTTATTTTTATATAGAACACACCCGCGGGTCCGTGACTGAATTAAAGTACCTTCTATTATGTCGATATCTTTATAATGTAAGCCTGGTGGTTGTTTTGTCACCCTTCTTTGGAGTCCAAAGAAGGGTGACAAAACAACCACCAGGCCTCAAAGACATGAGTTATCTAAAGAGACTTAAAAAAGTAGGCTTACTTACATTATCATATAGGAGAACACGAGGGGATATGGTTGAAACCTTCAAAACTATAAATGGCCACTATGATAAGGACGCAAGCTCCTTTTTGAAAATGGCAGAGGATACACAACACAGAACCAGTAGCAGGACAAATAGTAACACAGTAGTCCATCAAAGATTTCAATCCAATATCTGCAAACACTCATTCTCTGTTAGAATAGCTAAAAACCGAGAACAAACTACCACATAAAATTACCAAAGCCCATTCCATCAATACCTTCAAAAATCGACTAGATAAATATTGGTCTGATGATGAGATCTATTACAATGACTATTGAGCAGAAATATCCGGAAGTCACGGACAAAATAGTATGCAAAACAATTTAAATTTTGAGTCTGGTGAAGAGGAACCTTAGGGATCCTGTGCTGAAAATCAACTCTAAGTAAGTAATCCGATACCGATACCAATAGTGTATGTCACATGTAGTTTCCGGTTGTAGTAAGAAAGCCAGGACGGGTTCAAACAGAAAGATTTTTAATGTAGAGATAACTGTGATCAACTGTGCACCTTATAATTAGCATGACTTTATCAGAAGACAATACGAAAACTAAATATCCAGGCTATAATAAGGCGTAGGTACTTTAATTCAGTCACGGACCCGCGGGTGTGTTCTATATAAAAATAAGGAGATGTGATATTATTACCAATGAGACAACTATCTATCTAAGTTATAAAATGAAGCGGATGTAAGCAATTATAGGCAACCGTACGGCCTTCAACAATGAGAAAACCCATACCGTATAATCGGCTATAAAAGGCCCCGACATGAAAAATATGAAACAATTCAATTGAGAAAACTAATGGTCTAATGTATAACAAAACAATTTACTAAAAAAAATATGACAGACATGAACCAACGACAACCACTGAACTACAGGCTTTGTCTAGTGTATATCTCAAACAAACGTCCTTACCTCAGTGTTTATTTTAGGGCGTCTTCGCGAGCACAAAGTGTTTATTTCCAGGGTGGCTTCGCGAGCACAAATGAAGTCTGCGTCCGTTTTTCAGATGGTCCAGTTATACAGCATACAACAGGAGCATCTAGTGTGATGAAAGAAGAAACTTTCAATCTCTTACCAGTACGTCTATTGTTCTTTCGAATTATATTCAATGTTCTTTACTTTTATAATCATTGATTTATTTACACCATATTTTAATGCTAAAAATTCATTGATGTTTTACATGGGTATGTCACTTTGATGTCATTTATATGTGTATGCAAGTTACATTGATTTTAAACAAAACTTGTTGAATTGTTTGCTATGTTCAAGTTTTTGCACGTAACTGACTTTAATAATGTCTCCAAAGTAATGATTTCTCAACAAGCTGTTTACCATATATACTTATTCATAAATTTAAAATATATATAAAATTTGTAAATTCCTTAGAAATGAATGTGTGAGCTTTATACTTGGCGTGTTTGTTTGGTGTGTGTGATTGCTGTGTTGAACTACTTGCGACTGTGCAGATGTAATGTGAGCGACCAATTGTTGTCTGACTGATATAATGACTGAGGACCACTGACTGGTTGATGACTCTGACTTATAATAACCTCTGACTGGTTAACTGGAAAAATACAGACAATTTGAAACATAATACTTTATTCTTTGATGGCCGCTTTGCAAGTGACCACAAACGCCACAAAAAATACCAAAGTCATGAGACTTTGTTTCCAGGTGAGGCACAAGAAAGTTTATTTCTTAATCTAACAAAGAATTCACTGATTGAAACCCCTTGACGGTCCTCATCTTCTTCTTCTTCTGATATACAGTTTCAGCTTCATTTATATTGAAGATTACGAACTGTTGCATGCGCTGAGTATGTGATTAAAAATATAGTTGAACAAAAATTTATTTATGCCTTATTACATAATAAATATATGTCGCTTGGGTTTTAGGCCGAATAAGCGCTAACTGAAAAGACTAGAGGATTAATTATTCTTTACATAAGAAATCTTTATACTATGTAAAGCTGTTACTGTATCTATTATTTATCAAAAGTCTTATTTCCGCCTTTGTGA